ACGACACGCTTTCTTTACCAGCAATAAAAGAATCAACGAAATTCTCATATGAACTCGGCAAAGAAACCAGCAGGATTAGGGCAGCATCCTCGTCATCAACTTGAACATCTATATTACGCAGATCCAGCAAAATAGAGTTAAGCTGTTCGAGATGTTCCCTCAAAGGCGTACCTTCTTGCATCCTCAAGCTGAACAACCGTTGCTTGAGATGCAGCTTGTTGGTTAGAGACTTCGTCATATACAGACTCTCCAGTTTCAACCACAAGCTCGCGGCAGTCTTCTCAGCAGCGACTTCAATGATGACGTCATCAGACAACGATAGCATGATGGTCAAGTGGGCCTTCTCCTCCAGGGTATTCCACTCATCGTCATCGACCGCTGCCTTCTTCTGTTTCGCAGACAGCGGCCCCCACAGCCCTTGCTGTTTTAATAAAGCCTGATCTTGATCTGCCATATAGCGAAGCTGTTCTTCCCCGTGAACTTTTCGATCTTCATGTTCACCGACGTCATTCTTCTGAATCGAAAACCCTAGCCTGATTTCCAGCCGCGGCTCTGATACCACTTGTTATAAACGCGCTGCTACGGATCGGGAAATCGCCGGAATCGACAAAGCAAGAATACGAAAGCGAGAATCGAAAGAACACAGATACACGATTTACGTGGTTCACTAACACGATGTGTGTTAGCTAGTCCACGGGCGAGAGAGAGCCAGTTTCACTATATCGAGGAGATTACAGATTACAGAGGAGTATGAGAAGTATTTATAGTACTTCTCCATGTGGGTCTAAACCTAATCCAATATGACAAAGGAAACGGTTACAGACCAGGCCCAGAACCCGAACCCAAATAACATTGAGCCCATACACCGTGGACCCCCGATTACCATTCGTAGCGGCTGATAGTCCAATTCAAGTCACATCAACACCTACCTCTGCTTCCCGCCACTTCCATACCCTTCATCCATGGAAGCACACCTCTGATAAGAAACAAACCTCCCTTTCCCGCCAGCGAGCCCTGCATCGACCGCTTTCCTCCACTGCTCCGTCTGAACTCTCATCCTCTTCATCTCACATTCCAAACACTTCCTTCTCTTCCTTCACTGCCTCTAGCTGGCACGCCAGCTCCGCTGCATTCCCTCTGCTCGCCTCGACATCTTCCTCCAGTCGACTCAACCTAGAACGGGTTATTGTTTAAACATGCAAGTCCAATTATGCATGTTGGGTAGCGATTAGCGAGTCACTATACTACAGCTAGTGGTAAATCACCGTCTCAAGAACTAGTTGGTACCAATAATTTAAGTTGTTGCGGGATAGATACAATAATGAATTACATACCACATACTAATTTACGTCTCATCAAACTCAAATCACTCATATGAGATTGAAATTTGCACAGTTCAAAAATAGAGTCCCAGGGAGACTAAAAAAATAACAACTTTTGATTACAAAAGGAAAGATTTTGATATCAGAAAGACTTTAAAATAAGTCACCTAATATTGAAGTAAGCTAAGAGACGGATGTTTTTAGATAATTATTGTTTTTATAACCATCAACATGTAATTGTGTAGGACATGAGCAAGTTGTTTTACAGAATGAGATTAAGTGCCAACCCCTTAAGGGGTTAGTACCGTACTAACGAAATTTTCAGCCATCAAATTTAAATTTAATCCTACGGTTACACATTCATAAAGGTTAATTTGATCAAAATTGAGACTTGTCACCACAAACCCTAATATATAGGGCATATTATGGTTGCCTCTCATCTCTCTGAAACCGTCCACCTCCTCTATACTCTTTCATAAACCCTTCCCATCACATTCTCTCTTTTCCCCAATCAGCGGCGCGATCACAAACGCCTTAAAGAACAGAGGAGGTCATCGATGGAGATGGAGGAGGCAGGCGATGACAAGAGAAGGACGTTGATGGAAATGGAGGAGGCAAGCCGCGACGACGTCTTGTGAGATGAGGGTTGCCGTCAGATTCACCGGATTGGAAGCCGACATTTGTCTCATCATCACCGTCAATGACGAGCAGCAAGATCTGGGTCCGGATATGTTCGAGGGTTACCTAGATCAACCGTATTCTCCAGCGACGGAAGCCAGATCTGTGCACTCTATGACACAATTGATGACGGACTACAACATGGAAACCAGCGGAAGGGAGAGAGAAGTTACAACTTCTAATTGCAGCATTTCGAGAGGGTTTGCAATCTTTATGATTGCACGAGGAATATTTTGAATTGATTAGTAGTGTTTTAGACTTTTAGTAGTAGTATTTTGTATTTGTAGACATTCTCTTGTAGTTATAAAATTAGTCATGCTTATTATACAAGCAGTGTTTTTTGTTAAATAGTAGTGTTTTTTGTGTAGTTATAGTAGTTTTTTCGTTTGTGGTAATATTTTTATTATTTATCCGTAGTGATTTTTAATAAAAATCATAAATCATTACTAATTTAAAATAGTTAAAATGTTACTATTGAGAATAAAATCGTTACCAAAGATCATGAAATTACTACAATAAACCAAAAAAATCAATACTACTTTTATAATAATTGTTGTATATAATGTGAAGTAGTAATTTTCTCTCGTAGAAAATTCCTAATAGGAGAGTGAAAAAAAGGATTTTGATTAATTTAATATTTTTAATTTTTCTAAATACCAAACAAGCCCCTTGCTATTTTCTACCGTCAGATTGAATTAAAAATAATGGATGGTGATTATGCTAGTAATTAGCATGGTGCTAACCGTTATGAAGTTAGCACCGTATCTCCTGAGATTAAGTGCTAACACGGTGCTAACATAGTCTTCAGCCATTAGATGTAAAGTTAATCGTACGATTAAAATTTGATAAAGGTTAATTTGGTCAAATGAACACCACTAACTACAAACCCTAATACATATACAATATTGGCCGCTTCTCCTTTGGATCCGCCCACTTGCCCACTCATCTTTCACGAACTCTCTCCACTGTGTTCTCTCTTTCTTCCCCGATTGGCAACATGGTGACGGAGGAGGTAGGCGGCATGTTCTTTGTCTTTCTTCCCTCCCTCTTCTCACGAGCGCCCTAAAGTGATAGAGAGGGTCAATGGCGATGGAGGAGGGGAGGCTGCGACGAGAGAATAAGAGTTGCCTATGATGACGACGGAAGCGGCAAGCGGTGGTGATGGCTTGTGAGATGTGGGTCGCCGGTTAATTTACTAGATTGGAAGCGGACCTTTGTTTCACCATCACCACCAACGACGAGGAGGAAGGGTCCGATTCTGGATCTGTTCAAGGGTAACCTAGATCCGCCATATTATCCAGCGATGATGAGGCACAAAAGTTGTGGAAACCAAATTCTGTGCACTTAGGGACATCATTGATGACGACCTGCAGGGTAACGAAGTGGAAGGGAAAGGTGAACTGTATTGATTAGTAGGAATTTTGTAGTAGTGTTTTTTTATAATATAGTAGTGTTTTGTAGTTGTAGACATTTTCTAGTAATGTAATACTAGTTATTCTTACCGGAATGAGTATTCTTTTTTTAATTAGTAGCAGTTTTTGCACTATTGTAGTAGTTTTTTCCGTTTGTGGTAATGTTTTTATTGTATTTGGTTGTGATTCTCAATAAAAAGAATCTTAAATCACTACTACTTTAGAGTGGACTAAATCACTACCAATGACATAAAATCACTACACAAAATCATAAAATTACTACAATAAACTATCAAATCAATACTAATTCAAACAGTAACGGTTATACATAATGTGGATCAGTACTATTCTCTCGCTGGAGGTTTCTAATAGAGAGAGAATATAGAGATTTTAATTTATTTAATAATTATAATTTTCAAAATACCTAACAGACCCCTTGCAATTTTCTACCGTCAAATTAGATTTAAAATAATTGATGGTGATTATAATAGTTAGTATGGTGCTAACCCCTATGTAGTTAGCACCCTATTTCCTCCCTTGTTTTACCTACCCAATTAAATCAAACTAGTTAATGCGAATTAGGTTATTTTGAGTGCATTACTAAACCACCAGTCAATGTTACCAAGTTATTATTTCAAGTCATCGGTTACTTTGGATGAAGCGCGTTCGAATTGAATAAACGTATCGAGTAAAATACCTAATTAGCATCCTAAAACTTGAGCAACGTTCTGGCACTAGAGATGCCAATCCAACCAGTAACCATGGGTACCCTACCCGACCGTAACCGGTCAACGAGGGTAATTACCCGCTTTGACGGGTTAAGGGGTGGGTACGGGTAATACCCGGTTTCAAAATAAAGGATAGGGTACGGGTATGGTAATCGATAATACCCGCCCCGTTATACCCGCTCCGCTAACCAAAGGGTCAATTTCCCTTGGGAAATTTAGATTAGCTTGAGAAATTGAGTTTAGCTACCATTATTGATGATGAAGATGTAGACGATTATTATGTTTGTGTGGATTGTAGAAGCAAGAATAATTATTATGTGTTTGCTATTTTTATTTGTGTGGATTGTTGAAACTAGAACAGTTACAAGTATTGAAAATTTTTAATGGACAACACTCAACCGTATGTACGTGCATATATGTGTATAAGTTCATAGTTTAGGATTCGTACCCATGGTTACCCGAATGCCCGTGGTTACCCAGTGGGTAGAGTATGGTTATATAATTTTCATAACCGGTGGTTATTTGATCGGGTATTTTAGAAGGCTCTACCCGGCGGGTTAGGAGTTGATATAGTGTAAACCCGCACCCGACCCTACCCATTGCCATCCCTATCTGGCACAAAAGTGTACATGCCGGATAATGAATTATTTGTTAATTCACTAGTTCTAAATTAGTGTCACTAACAAATAACAATAACAGGAAAACTAAAATTTTTTTTTGGGCATTGGGATTGAAAATTGTTTAATGACTAAAGTGAAATAAGCAAAGAAACTCAGGGATGATACGAAATATTTTGCTTTTCGCTCGCGCTAGTAAGATCTTCTTCCACAACCCCGCGCTTATTCGAATCAAAGTCCGTTTATCAATCCAGACCCTAAAACCTCAGGCTCACTCTCTCTCTAGCTCGCTCTCCGGCGGTTCCGCCGAATTGTTTCAGCATTCCCTCCGGCTTCAATCAATGGCCGAGAATCTAATCGTTCTCTCCGACGAAGACGCCGACTATCCGAGTACTCCAATTTCATCCCGCCCCAAGAGGCTCCGCGCCACTCGAGCGGAGCTCGGGCTCGACCCAGCTCCTACCATCTTCCTCATGGACGATGATCCTTCTCCGTTAAAGCCGACGCCGAGTTCCTCATATGCTGCCACTGTTGTCCCAGAAACTCCGATGTCTGATGTGGCCGCCGCTGGCAGATGCACGGTGGACCTATCGGCTCCCGAAATTAGGGTTCTTGATTTCGGCAGCAAGACTTCTGGTACGTCTCCGTCTTCACATAGTCAAGAGGAGTTTCAATTGTTTTGGTGGCTCTTTTTCCCGATTGAAGAGGTGCGAGTTTCGTTCTGTGTTTGTGTATTGGAAGGAAATGGCGGAGTGACGCGCTTGGAGCCAAAAACGTTTCGAGTCGGTAGGTTTCTCTGGAATTGGAAATTGGTGGGAGAGTGAGACTGTGGAAATTGACGATGACGATGAGGCCGTATGGAGGGCTAGGTTCTCTGCATCTGTTTATTCTCTTGGTAGGTTTTGGTTTTCATCTGATTCAACTTGCCACTGTACACTGGAAGTTGTAGATTGTACTCTGTGATATTGAATTGTACGTTTTTGGGAACTTCTGAGGGAACCTAATAGAACACGCTCTTCAGGTGGTGCTAATCCCAATCAGATGTCGTCAGGGGTAAACTCTTCTCAGTCAATATTGTTAGAAGATGAGCAGGTGATTGTCAATGCGAGTTTCTTCTACATTTTGAAGGGTGGTCTGCTAGAATTGTGCTTTCGTAGCAGCCTTTGATTTCTTAGAACTCTTGGTTGCATGAATGGGTGGGAGATGTATATATATAGCTTTACCTATAATGCCTTTAGTTGCTATGCATATGAGTAGAAACTTTACAGTCTGCTTGCAACCAGTTCCCATGCAGTTTTAGTCCAATCGGGATACAATTTCCCAGTTATCATCCTTTCCCAACAACATAGCGAGAAATGGACTCGGGAATGGAGTTTCATTTCAATATTTTTTGCTTGTTTCAAAAGGGCTGTTAGTTCATTCAGAGGAAGTGTTTTAGCGCATTTAGAATGTTATATGCGGATGGCTACAATTGTCAGAATCATAACCCTTACAATGTCAACAGAATCTTTTGTCTTGTGAGTTAAGATATATCAGTAGCATCGGAAGCTGAGAAAGAAATGGGATTCAATGCAGCTTGTTTCTCTAGGACAGTTGAGTTGGAGTCTAATTCTCCAAGGAAATGGCTAGGACATTAGGTCATCTCTATAATTGTCTAGAACAAGATTAGAGAAATGAATTTAAATCTAAAATGATGGTTTGGGTTATCTTTCAAGTTATGCCCATCTCGGAAGAACTTATAGGATTGCTGCTGGTTGAATTGTTTGGCCTATATTTTCTCTCTTTTCATCTTTAATAATGCTTCTTAATCATGACAACAACCCTGACAAAGAAAATCTGCGCATATGGATGGTATTGTAAAACAGAAAAGGAAATCCAAGAGCAAGTCAGTAGAGAAAAATAGTAATACAGATGAAGCAATTGGAAAGAAGAGGACAGCAAAAGATAGGGCCCTCTTGATTGAAGAAAAGAAACGAAAAAGAGAAGCAAGTTTTTTCTTTCCCTGATTACTTGTTCTCGTGAATCTTTAAAATTCTTTGTGGAAATTTGTAAAGATGACCTGAATCCGTTTTTCAGGAAGAGAAGCTGCAAAATGCAGATCTGAGAGCTGAAACAGTTGAGTTGAAAAAGTTCGAGAGAGAGAAACGGAAATGGGAGAAAGGGAAGTTGCCCCTAATAGCAATTGTTGCTCAATTGGATGCCAAAGTATTGGAGCAGGCTTCAGTTGGAGGTTAGATTACGCAAATCACCCGTCCTGAGTGACATTATATTGACCTTGACGTTCATTATGGTTTCTTAAATCTCTTGTTGCAGGGCATCTTCTGTCCAGGTTTGCTGAGAAAGGATGCTGGGAGCTGACAGAAGAGTGGGCGAAATATGCTCAAAGCGAGTCTATAGAATAATGATGGGAGGAAAATGGAAGCATCAAAACTGACGATGTTGAAGATGGTGCTGCTGATTACTTTCAGCGCTAATCTGCACCTCTTTCCAGGATTCAAGCATCATGAACCGAGTCACGTCCAGGTTCCATACATCAACTTTACTATACTCAGCACTCTTTTTCTTTTCAGATTCTATCTCCAGCTCAAACCTGGACTACAGATAACAATAGGTTTGGGTCTGCAGACTGCAGAAATAAGAAAGGAATTGATTAGGCGGGCCACTGACATGTAGGTTGATTTTCAATATTGGCTGACGTCCGTATGCAACCAACTGGCTACATAATTCTTTATTGAGGGTGGCATTAGCACACTGGAATACATCTTCAATGTTTGAAAATATTCTATAATATGTAGAGGTCAACTAATCTTAGGGGACAGATATAAAACCTCAACCCCACTTTCTCTATCTCAGCAATAGCAGGCTGCAGTTGCCTCCACTCTGCTTTGGCCCCTCGCATTTTTGGAAAAGTGGGCTGAAATTTAGGAGAACTAATTGGCTTTAGCTTCCACATTTGTCTGTCCAGGTATTTTTATTAGATTATGGATAAAAGAACTAAGGAGAGCCTGTTAGATAAGTCCTTAACTGCTTCGGTTTCGTTTAAAACCGAAAACCCTTCATAAATCGGTAAGTCATAACACAACTAAGGTTCGATTTTGGTTTATCGATTTATTCTGGCCGAAGCTGAACCCGTTAAGAACTTTATCGGTTAACCGAAAACCGATAAGCTCTTATTGGTTATTAATGATATTTTATTTTAATAAAACCGATGAGCTCTTGATGGTTTCGGTTTTGAACAGTTGTTTAATTCTGGTTTCGGTTTCCAATGGTTTTTGGTCCGCCCACCACCATCTCCATTACCTACTCAGCTGCCACTTCTACAATCTACAACCAAACAAACTAACAACCCAGAAAGATTATATTTTTGAACAGTAAGATTATAATGGAGTCGAATCTTTCATGAGTCACCATCCAAATTATCATTTGATCTTCAATCACGTCATTATTTATATCAACAAACATCAACTCCACTCCCTTCGTCATTTGTATATAAGATCAGTTTCCTCCTCTGAAACCTGAATCTCATCTAAGTGACAGAGATAGCTATTGTAGTTGACATCTACTCTTGGGGGTTCTGGTTATGATGATGGAGAAGAGCAAATCATTTTCAGGTGGTTACTCGGAGATGAGCAGGGCGGAATTCGAGGACAAGTCGAAATCCGACAGCTTCAATGGCCCCACTAATGCTGCTCTTGGTACGAGCGACAAGGCCGGTGATTTCGCGGATGAGAATCCGGAGACGGAGAGGAGGAAGAGGGTAGCTCAGTACAACATCTACTCCACGGAAGGTAAGCTCAAATCTTCTCTCAGAAACAGCTTCAAGTGGATCAAGAGCAAGTTTGTTGATGACTACTTCCAGGATTGAAAAGTAGTGCAGTGTGTGCGGTTTCTATGTGTTCATATCTTCTTCTGCTTCCTCTGTTCCCCCCTCTCTTGGGTCCATCCATCCTCCCCTTTCTCGGGGAGATGGAGATCGAAAAATCGTCAACATCTATAAATAGTTCAATTCGAGCTTTTTGACCAATCTGGTGGCTTTGTTCGTCATGGTGTTGAACTCCCACTAGGCAGGACACATAGCGATTGAGTAGCTCCCTTGCATTCATGATGCTTAGATCTATCAAATAGATTTGTAGCCTAGCGATACTATGAGACATTGCTAAGACGCAATTCTCGGCAGGCTGGGTTTGAATCTGCATTGTTCCTGTGCTAATGCAGAATTCTGAAAAAAAAAAACAGTACGGCTAGCAATTCCATACAAGAAGGTATGAACTTGAATGTACCAAGTTTCTATCCTTCATTCATTTATGGCAAAAAGAACTAACACCCCCCCAATAAGAAACACAAATGGAGTCAACACGCAGAGTTCTGTTCAATCAATCAAATATTTCTACTGCACATCGAACCGAGGCTTGTTCATGAGGTGGCCTCAACGATCATCGTCGAGCCCAAAGAGCTTGGAGATCTTGTCAGGATCAAGAGCAGAGAAGTCGAGGGTCGACCGGCGATAGTGCTGGATGTTCTTGGAGGCACTGGGGTGCGCCTCGGTTCGTAGTGCTGACCGGTCCTGAAGCTGTGGGAGCCCCACCGGAGAAAAAGAAGGGTGGATGCGTCCGGCGAGCTTGTTCATCGTTGGCGGCGGCTGCTGCTGCTGCTGCTGTTCTTCCTCTCTCACTGGTTTCATGCTGGAAGAAGCGCTACTGCTGGTGCTATTCCCCCCTCCTGCTTCCTGGCTGAATATGCTTATTGTTGTAGCTGTGTCTTGGCTGTTCGTTGTGCTTTCTTCCTCTGAGATCTTCTCCAGCTGCACAAACCACAGAATCATGAATCGTCGGTTACTTGTTTCCCACGTTTTTTGGGTAAATTCTTTTGTCTTTCGAATTTTACCTCTTTGGGAGATGGATCCAAGTCGTCTTTTGCCTGGAAACCAGTTTGCTTCTTGCTACCTTCACTAGCTTGTTGGGTGGCGGCTTGCTTCTTTGGTTTCTTGCGCCTGTTAACCACATGTAGCTAGTAAATACACACCTAGTGAAAAACGGTGGATTTTGAAAAGCAATGGAAGCCTAAATACATGATCGAATCACGAGACGAAAAACAACAGTAAAACAGGCCTTACTTCTTGCGAGTATTGGACTTGGCTGCTTCATCCTCTGGCTTCTGGATGACTGGTAAACCAGAGAGCTCGCATGCCAATGGATTTGTAGTGAAGAACTGCATTTTTTTGATAGTTATCTGCATTAGCAATTCATACCAGCATATATGCAGCAATGCAGCTATACATGTAGTTGTTGGGGATAATGAACCGGTCTTGCACGCTATTTGAGCTAACGAAATTGATACTTGGATCGAATATGATTCAAATTTTAGCAGAAAAGCAGACTTAATTGAAATTTGGACCAGACCGAATCGGATTAAATGTGACCTGGCTCTGGAGGGCAGAAGTGGCAGTGCCACGATAGGAAGGATTGAGAGAGAGAAGAGTGGAGAGGAGGGTGATGGAGGAAGCTGGGAGGTCCTTGAAGGCTTCTTTGATGGTCGGTTTGTAGTGCTGCTGCGGCCGGAAGCTCGTCGGAAGCCTCATGATCTTCCAGTAATCCTCTGCCGGCGACCCACACAGCTTGAATATCCTGTGGATTTGCTCAACCTGAGGAAGTACCCAAGGCCAATAATTAGAATCACCTACACACCCAACTGGTACTCTGACCAAAGTTATATGGTAGAATTGAGGGAGAAAATAAAACCTTTTCTCTTTTTTATAATTACTAGTTTAGTCTTATTTGAACCCATATTTTAAATAAGGGTGATATAAGTTACTTTTTTGTTATTTGGTACTACTGAAGGGATTCGAACCTGGGATCTTCATATTTTAATATTTATTAGATTACTTCTATCTCAACTACTATTTGACACGAGTAACAATCACAAAGATGATAAATATTAGGTTGAACCAAACACAATTGTATGATTCAATTTTTAGAATTTAGGACGTGTTTTTTTTTTCCTTCTTAATTTCATTGCATTCATTCAATTGAAAAACCGGACCATATTATATTCTGTGGATTAACCATTCTCATTTATTAAGTGGGTAACTAATTTGGGCCCATGTCCTTTCTGGCCCAGAATCAAAGCCCACGAAGTTTAGTTTTCTTACCTCAGTCCTGCCAGGCATAATGGGCCTACCGACGAACATCTCAGCCAGCAAGCAACCAACGCTCCACAGATCAATCCCAACGCCATAATCCGTTGCTCCCAACAGCAGCTCCGGAGCTCTGTACCACAGAGTAACAACCCTCGTAGTGAGCGGCCTCTTAGGTTTAGGAACGAAGAATTTAGCCAGCCCAAAATCAGCAATCTTCAGCGTCCCATCTCTGTCTATCAACAAGTTGGATCCCTTGATGTCTCTGTGCAGAATCCCCCTTTCGTGGCAGTGCTGCAGCCCCAGAAGCAGCTGGTTCATGTAGCACTTCACCTATATTAGAGGTTAAGAGATTTAACTATCCATTTCCCAACAACTCGAGTTATTGGGACCAAGTGGTTAGTTCGCTAACATGGTATCAGAGCCTAGAACCGAAAGGTCATGGTTTCGAATCCTCGTAACTACCCATTTCATGCCAATTCCTTTAGCATAAGGAATGGTATGTCCCACCTGTGCAAACTAAGGCCTCGACGAAAGACGAGAGAGAGAGAGAAACCTGTGGCTCGGTGAGTCGTTGATCAGGGCGGCGATGATCCTGGTGAGATCAGACAACATGTAGTCGAAGACGAGGTACAGACTGTACTGCATCCTCGAAGTCGCGATTCCTTCGAGCTTGATGATGTTTGGATGGTCCAGTTTCTGAAGCACCGTGATCTCTCTGGCCATGAACTTGATGCTCTCTGGCTCCGACGTGTCGAACCTGACTTTCTTCAGGGCGACGATCTTGCCGGTGTCCCTGTCCCGAGCTTTGTAGACGTTGCTATAGGTCCCGTGACCAATCTTGCATTCAACAAACCGCAATTGGGAGGGATACAAAACCTTTAGGGGTCAAATTGTAAGAGAACAAATATACAAGCACCAAAAAAAAAAATATTGCTCCAAGAGGCTAAACCAAATTAGAGAACCAAATGCAATCTCTCCAAACCGATAATTTTGTATAGGTCCACTATATCTTGCGTGTTTAATTAACTGTTAATGTTTGTTGTGGTGGAGACTCAAATATACAATCATACTAACTCTGATATCAATGCCATAAACTGTATAATCTCGTAACCTAGCTAGTTGTTGGGTGAAGCTTCAAAATGGATCTTATATCATTTCCTGATTCAGTTATTGGGACCAAACGATTAGTAACATGATATCAACATGTAATATGACTATAAGATGTGCTCATATCTCCACGACACTCAGTTGATTTAGCACGAGGTAGATTGTGCAAAGTTTAAACCCCATTAGTTGGGTTTTGTTTGAGGAGACATGTTAATTAAGAAAGAATGTTTCTCATAACAATTCGAGTTAAAAAAAAAAAAAAAAACTTAAAGAACACACTACCTTGGCAAGCTTATCATAAGATTCAGCACTTTTGGGGACCAAACTGGCCAACACATCTTTTGGGATATTGTCCACAAGCCACTTTGGCCATCCACCAACATAATCCTCCCCTCCGATCTTCTTCAACACAACCCTCTGAGACTTGCTCACTCCACCACGGCCGACGTCCTTCCCGACAACGGCGGCGGCGTCGGGCCGACCATTATTACTCCCCTTCTTGTCGTCATCATTAATAATAATCTCCTCCAAAGGCTTCACTTGATCATGACTTTGATAATGGCTGCCACCTTTCTTATTACTACTACTGACGTTATGCACATTCTCAGCCTTCAACTTGGACGGCCCCCACGGCGGCGTTAACTTCCGCCGCTTAATGGATTGAATGCAACCCATGATGATGACGGTGGTTGATGATTGGTCGCCGGTTCGCCGGAGGTTATTTCTAGGACAGTGGCATAGTAAGCAGTGATTTGAGATTTCGAGAGCATTAAGATGTGATGTTTAGGGAGAAAGAAAGGAGGATAGTGGAGATGTCCAGTTGGTGAGAAGTGTGAGAAGTTGTGAAGCTAGTGCATAAGGGAAGCCGTCCTTCGGGCGGCAATTCTTTTGGTTGGGTTGGAGAGAGATATATATATATAATAGGGAAGGTTCAAGAAGATGATATAGCCTATAGGTATAAGGCGAGTGTTGGTGTTTCGCCTAGTGCTTAGTTTGTTTAGATGTTAGAAGAAAAATGAATGAAATAACAATTTGCAATACTTTTGTCATATTTCAATAATTCAAACTGCTAGGAGAAGGTTATGCCTGTATCTTATACTACTCTCTAACGCGTCTCCTCAAACGAAAGCCAACCCATGAGCTTGAAGTTTGCACAGACCTACCATTTCTTGTGCTTTAATCAACTGTTAATATTGGGAGTCGTGGAGATTTGAACACACAACTACTTGGCCAAACCAGCTCTGATACCATGTCACAAACCAGTTGGTCCCAATAACTCGAGTTGTTGGGAGAAGGTTATGTTGGATCTTATACCACTCTCTAACAAATTTCACATTTAAATTCAATAATAACTTACTTAACGATAAGAAAATTAGGTCACAACTTTATAGAATCGTAGTTTAATAGCTCACAAAGTTGGTTGAGATTAGTTACGGCAATGGGGCGGGGAGGGTACCTCAATATCCATGTCCCGCCCCATGCTACTACGCTCAGGACGGGTATTACCATGCAGGTACAGGACGGGGCGGGTCGACCCACTCTCACATGTTATTTGAAAAAAATACACGCAAAATTTTATTTTTTTACGATAAATCAAGGAGAAAACACTTTATGAATGAAAATAGTGATGATAAAATGGATAATTGAGTCTAACTAGTTGAAAGATCAAGTCTAACTAGTTGAAGAAAAGTCAAAATATGAGAAATATGAATGAATATAGTAAGAAATTCAGATTGAATGGGCTAAGAAAGGTTCGGGGCAGGGCAGTGCGGGTCGTAAGTAGATACCCACGCCCCGCCCAACACTATTGCGGGTCCGAAGTAGATATCCACACCCCGCCCCATGATATTGCGGGTCGAGTTATACCCGGCTGACTGGGTTAAGATTGACATCCCTAGCTGAGATTGTTAAAATGTTTGTATTGTTCACGATACATTGTTTTTTTAATTATATTTACAAACAATACATGCATTGTTTGCCTGATATTACACAAACTATAGCTCAAAAGATTTTCTCCTTTGATATTGGCTGTCAACCTCAATCTAATTATGACTAAGGGATACCTTGGTGTCTCCTTACTCCGTTAATATGTTTTTTTATATCTAATTCGTTGTAGAATCTCTAGACGAGACATTTTGGTGTTGTCTAGACGTATTAGGGCATAAGGTTAAGCGCACATTTTTTAATCATGATAATAGCAAAGAGGTAAAATAATGATTATTGGAGAAACTAGGATAAGATTTTCTAAACTTTTTGGTGGGTTTTTGTTGGGTTTCTATTTCCTTGCTCTCCATTGTCAGTGAGACTTTGTTTTGGGAGTGTGGTATTATCAAGGCAAGAAAGAATACTATAGCCTGTTTTTTTTTTTCATTCTTTTTAAAGACTTCACTTGTCTTTTTTGGTCTCTCACAATATGAGCCATTTGAAACACCTAGCTGATTTTTTGGTCGATGCAATGCAACAAGATATGAACAAGGTTGGGTCGATCTGCTCAAGATGTGTGTCGGAATTGTAGTCTCGCAATCTAGACAATGAAAGATGATGAATTGTACTTTCTTGAAGAAGGATTGAGTTTACATTAATACCTCGTTTAATCTTACTACCACTATTGTCTCGCTGGTTTTAAGGTTTATTCTCTATAATACAAGAAATCCATCCTTGAACACGACAGCATGAATTGACCTGCAAAAAAAAAAAAAAAAAAAAACAATAGGGCCTAAAATGAGAAATTTTACAATGCTATATAGTATTGGTGCTATGGGTTTTTGCCTTTATGGTACAACTTAAAATTGTACATTTACGTTATGGTACAACTTTAGATTGTACCTATACTTTTTGTACAAATTCTTTTATGGTACAACTTGAAGTTGTACCTTTATGTGATGGTACAACTTCAAGTTGTAAAGTTGTACCTTAACATAATGGTACAAATTGCTTTATGGTACAACCTAAACTTATACACTTAATGTTATGGTACAATTATGAGTTGTACATTAAAGCACCAATACTATATAGCATAGTAGAAGTGCTCGCCTAAAATTTTGTTCTAGATTCCGAAAGCTGGTGTACTTGTTTCTCACTAGTTGAGAAAAACCCAGCTGGGGAAACAAAGTGTGTGTGGTCCTAATGAAAACAATCGTCACTGTATGTTCTTGTAGAAGTCTCTTAAACCTATGGTATCTGTCATGATCAATCCCAACATTATCATCGAAAATGTCACGACCAAATCGTTGTATTGACATCCCATTCCAGAACCACGTAATGGCTTAATTTTTGCAGCTCAAACCAACGGAGTTTACTATGACTCGATTCTTTCTATCAACAAGCGCATATAAAGTGGGAGTTCTTTTTTTGTTGAAAGAATAAAGGGAGAGTTCAATATATAGATGACTTTTTTTGGGTGAAAAGTTCAATAGATGACTTTGATCAAGTTCAATAGATTTAGTGTCATTCTTGGCTCGAGGTGTAAATATAGTCGTGGTGCGATGAGAGAGAGAGTGATGAGAGAGAGAGTGATGAGAGGATCTTCGAGCGGAGAGGAGACCAAACGTTTTTTGTTTTGCAGGTCTGACGTAGCAGGAATCGGCAGCAGCAGTTAATCGAAGGAAGTTTGTACACAGAAAGAGTTTTTTGGTCCGAAAATCATCTCTGTTTCCAAGTATAACAGGAGCATACACGAAAAATGTTTATCGACTCCAGGCTCAGGACTCTCTGAAAACTTGGTTCATCTTTATGGATGATCAGCAAATTTCTTGGCTTCAAGGCCTTCTCCAATCGGCTGCTATGAGGAATTGGTATTTCCCTCGTAAGTCCCTGTTGAAGAGTAGAGGCCGAATCATTCATGTCGGTAGATCATCCAACTGTGGTTCTCATTATCTTCAAATTTCAGAACAAAGAAGAAACGGAAAAGTCTATAAAATTTTAATACCTTCTGATGGTGGATGGGCCAAACTCATAAGCCTTCTTCAGCGTTTTTACGCTTCCGAACTTCAGAATCGCCTCAAATCCTCTTACAATATCTGCCTGCACAATCTGCCTCCACCTCCCTGTCAATCCGCTCCTTCGTATACAGGTAGATCTTATGCTGATGTGGTCAAAGGTACTGGTTTCTACGCAGCAGGAAAGTGTAAAATCGTCGGACAAGGCAAGGATAAACATATTGAGGTTGATTCTGACGGAGTGCAAGAAAGGCGGGAATTACTGGGTAGATGTCTTATCATCAACTTCCAGAGCCTCAAAGCTTCAGGGATTTTCACAGCTGATTATATTCATAGCTTTAGAGAATGGGCTCACAGGAGATGGTCAATTGATGATAATTATGGCACGGAAAACAGGGGGAACGGGAGCTGGATTCTCATCTGCCCAAGCATCGCTCAGGCTCTTCGCATTAAGAGGTTAGGACAACTCAAGTTAAAAGATTTCTTAGTCTCTGTCTCTGAATGGAAAGATCATGAGGAGAGGTACAGTAATTCAGATATGTGGATTCTCGTTTACGACATTCCTTTGCATCTCAAAAGCATCAATCTCATGAAATCTATCGGTAACTTCTGTGGGTCTTTCATTGAAATTGATTGGTCATCTTGGAGCTTGGAATTCGTTCGGATCAGGATAATGTGCAAAGGTGAAATCCCTCTTTCAATTCCTGTCCGCTATGCATCTGATCGATTCATGATCAACATCATACCTCCGCCGGCAACCTTTGATGCCGCCGACGAAGCAAATAGTTTTTCTCAGTCGGTTCAGAAGTCGAAGAGCCGAACCCCTGTTCTGCCACATCGATTCTCGGATAACACTTCACGCCAATCCAATCCGGACCTTCCATTGGTTAACGCCTCCCAATCTGATTCCGAGGAAAACAAAGGTGAAGACGTACAGTCACGCAGGTCTATCAGAAGAGTGTGGGTCCGGAAAGAGGGCCCTATTTGGATCAAACCCTCAGCCATCTCACCCGCAAGCCCTCCTGTTGACTCCTCATCCTTTGACTTAATCCCCTCATCTCAAGCCCAAGCCCCTCTGACCCAATTGCCTCAAGCCCAACTCCCTCTGACTCAATTCCACCTGACCCAATCCTCCTCTAACCAAATCCAGACCCTACTAGACCCGGCCCATCTTTCCGCAGCACTCAATTTTTTCTTTGAAGCCTTGTCTATTCCCAGTCCATTTCAATCCCTTCTCCCATTTCCTTTTTTGATTACTGTAACCCAATCCACCTTTTCCTCATCTGTTCTGATCCTCCCTCTCTCAAACCAAGCTCTCTTCATATCCATCCCACAACCTCCAGTAGAACTTCCCCTCCGTCCATTTCTCCGAGCCATTTCTCCTCTTCCTCTTCTCCCTGATTCCCCTTCATTTTCCTCCTCCCCTGAACCTTCATCCCCGACCTCGCATACTTCCTCTGATGCAGACCTCTTCCTCGCATCTCAAATTCCTGAATCGGCTGATCTCCAAGCTCCATCTCTCTGCCCGGTTTTTGAAGAGCTCCCCTCACCTTCCTGCTCTCAAGCAACTGAGGATGTCAATTGGAACTTTGAGGCATATCCTTTCGATCTCTTATCCCTGGTCGAGTCAAGTGTGAATCTGAGTCACATCTTCTCTCTGGGTCATGACGAAGGAATGGATTCTGCTGAAAAGGTGATAAGGGAAACTGCTAAAGAAGTACACAGCAAGAAAGTCAA